ACTGTTGCACTGTATAAATACTGTACTATGTTTTTACATTATTGATGGAGACTTTTTGTTAAAACATTTAATTTATTGGTGTTCCACGCAAGCATTTTATGTTGTTCATGAGGAATGTGTGTGTTACATATTGCAGATCAGCAGCATTTTTGATTATATAGGCCAGTAGTATTTTCCAAGTCCGTTTCTCGTATCTCGAAACAAAACTATTTATTGACCCATAGTACTGTTTCTTTGCAAAGGTACACTTACTGTTTAGCAAATTTTGTGAAATGGCTGATTCAAATTCATTTAATGTAGACACATTTGAATCTCCAAATAATATATACACGAGACAACTCACAATTGAAAGCAATTACAGGCGAGTGCCTGAAATAAGAGAATGTTCTCCCAAGTTTAGTCTATTGGAAGGCGCGCAGAAAGGCTTCTGGATTGCATTTGACAGAGTGTAAGCTCAAAAACAATTAATTAAAACAGATAGCCTGAGAGAAGATTAAAGACATCGGTTTTTAAATACATTACCTCGTTTTGCCTAAAAATAAACCAAAATGAATTGAAACAATAAAATAAAAAAAAAATTCATACCTAAAAGCAACGAATATGATAGATTAACCCTAGACAAATTTCGCACCCAATTGCATTGACGTTCAAAGCATCCTGAACAAAGCTAGCATTTTTATCGTAGCAGAGAACGCGCTCCGATATGGCACTCCGTCGCGTACAGCGGTCGAGCGGTTCATACGCTCGCATTGAGGTATTGTGTCACGTCGGAGTTTCATTACCCCTGTAAACAAGAGACAGGAATGACGGGCAAGACATTTCGGCAAAAAACAAATTCCAGCTTGACGTCCACGCGGAGGGGGCGGGGCGGTGCGTTCCGCTCCGGCGCCGTCGCGACGCGTCGCTGGCCCTCTGGGGACGCGCTGCGCGGCGCTGCGCGGCGCGGCGCGGGTGGCGAGTGTCAGCGGGGCGGCAGGGCCCGTCCCTGTCACGTGCCGTCTCGTTGCCCTCGCGGCCCCTCCGCCGCTCCGCCCGCCCGCGCCCGCTCGCCCTGGCCCGACCACGCCGCCGTCATCGCCTTCGCCTCTGCCCGAGCCCGTAATCACTGCGTCGCCCCGGACACTGCACGGTGTCACCACCGTTGCAAATACATATACGCCCGACCTCCCTGGCATTAACGCCTACGTCAAAACCCCCACTCTCATTCAGCTTTCGCAGCTCCGTCTCCACCTGGCGCGGTGTCTCCTTCACCTGCACCGTTGCTGAGCTCTCATCCACATCGCCCATTCCTTCCTTCATTAAAACGACGCCGGTTGTTTTTATACGAATCCCCTTCTCCCGCTACTCAACGTTTATCCTCCATCAGGCAGCTGGCCCGTTCCCTTAACAGTCCAGTTCTCCACCCCCAACAAGGCCTTGCCCCGCGTAACTGCTCCTTCCGATCCCTGTAAACCTGTCCCAGTCCTCTCATCACCCTCCCCTCGGCCCCACCTCCGTCATTGCCGGTATCGCCCGTCCTGCCCCCTATTGCCCTTGCCCTTGCTAACGCCCCCCCCCCGCCGCCCCCCCCCCCCCGCCCGAGGCGCAGCGAGAGCGCGCGCAGCCACGACGCGCGGTCCCAGCGGAGCGCCGGTCGCATTCGGACCAGATAATGCCGTATATATTACCGCCTGTTTTGAATTGCCCGAGAGCGCTGTGCTATCTGCGGCGCGAGCCGCCCCGCCGGGCCCGCCCTCTGGCGCTCGCCCCTGGCCCCGCCCCCGGCCCCCGCCCCGCCGCGGCCGCGCCGGCCGGCCGGCCTGCCGGCTTGTCCGCTGGGGGTTAGCGGGCGGCGTACGTGTACGTATGGGGCGGGCGGGCGGGCGGGTTAGCTGGCGGCCAGCCAACCGCCCCGGCGCCCACGCGCCGTGCGCCCCCGCCCCGCCCGCTCCCTGGTCCGCCGGCCTCGCGCCACGCTGCGCCGCGCCACCGCGCCCGCCCCGCGCGTGCTACTGTTTCAGCGCGCGCCTCCCTTGTTGTTGGCTGGAATTCGCTCTTGACGCTCCCGTGCATTGCGCGCGCGCTGCCCGCAACGACGTTGGCTGGCAAAATTCCTTGCCATTCTCATGCCATCGTTCTATTCTGCCCTCTCTTGTGTGTTTTGTCACTCGTTCCCTCGTTGTTCGCTTCCTTTCGTGCGTACGCGATGATAAGACCAGCTTCTCACGTGTGTATATTTATCTTCCCACACTTCTGTGTCCCGCAAATTCAATTATTCTCTGTGTTACTGCTTTATTAATGCTTATTTTGTTATTTTTTATAAGACAGATAACTCTTCGTCTATGTAGTCCGCGTGGTCCCACAGATAACTCACTGAAAATATTGTTGCGTCTTTGTCATCTCGAGAGGTTTGGGCAGTGCTCTGTTCTTGACAGTGTTGCCATCACGCACTGTCGCTTACGTCACTTGTGCCCTTCCCTTCTCTTTCCCAACTCTCTCTTTTCCATCGTCTCCCCTATTCTCGTGCCTTAGAGAGCTGCTCACGCATGCCCTCAGTGCTCGGCAACATTCATCACAGCTGATAACTACTTCGCGCAGCTCTCCTTCAACTTTTGCCATCCAACACTTTGTAGTCTCCTTTGTCAAGGTCACTGTCCCGTTTTGTGAGCCTGTTCATCTGCTGTAGTACAATGTTCCCATTTCTTTCCCACATGGCACCCCCTTCTTAGCACTCGGCACGACTCGTATCTTCACTACTTCAACGCACTCTTTGTCGCTTTTACTGACTGCCACTTACTTCCGAACCGTTATCTCGTAAGGCACTTCCCTGGCGTGCAACAATTCTTCCTCTGTGCAGTTCGCACCACAAGCTGTTCAGAGCTTGCCGCCTACCGTGGTTTCCTCCTGCTTCTTCACTCTTACTTGTCTCCTTCGCGTCCCCCTCCCGCCCCTCTTCCGACGCGCTGCTATGCCCCGCCCCGCCTGCGCGCCGCGCACCGCCCCTGTGTAAGCAGGATAGGGAGCTTGGATCCGGAGTTAAGACGCGCCGCCGCCGCGTTGGATTTGCGTATTCAATAACGAATGCGGGCCCGGATCCGGGCCGGTGCGGGAGGCGGCGCGGGCTGCTGGGGATGTAGGGAGGTAGGGCGGTGGAAGCGCTGGAGACGGAGAGGGCGGCTGGCGACGGGGTTGGCTGGTCGGAGTTGGAGGGTGGCGGGCTGGCAGGGGGATAGGCGAGGGCTGCAAGGGGGGGTGCGGCGGCGAGCTAGGAAGGGAACACCGCGAGCAGCGGGGGTGGGGGGCTAGCGATGTGTTGGCGGGCTCCTGCCAAAGCCGCTCGTTTCCGTGTCTTAATCCTAAATTTGTTGGAGGTTTTACTCCGTGCATTTGCGCGGAATAGATAAAAGTGCAAGCTCCGGTGAAATATTGAGTGAGAGTTACAGCTGAAAATGTGCTTCGAAATCATTACGACCTCCTTTAATTGAATTGAATTGCCATGCGGTTTTGTTATTGCCTCGGGTTAGGTAATTATTTGTTAGGAGTCTCTAATCGATTCGTAGGAATTAAACTTTCATTTATCATCTACTCCGAAGGAACTGCCACAACTTTCTTACTCAAACGGTGGTAACATCTTGGAAAACTTTAACCGATACGAATTCATTTAAATATTTTCATATTAAGTAAATCGGGATCAACTGTTAGAAAATCATTATTAAATTTCAAGGTTCAAAAATTATGTAAAAATGTGTACTTTATATCACAACTGAGCTACCCGTTATTTCCTGCTAATAATGTAATATTTTAAACAACATTTCTTTATTAATAAGGTCTGAACAAATATGTCATTCTGGGACAAGGTGCGAGATTAAATATTCCAATTACTCACTGATCTTATAGGGTTTCTCATATAAAGCTCTCAACAACAACAGATAACTTCCCACAGTTACCCAACCTATTACCAACCAGTTACCAGCACTTTCTGAAATTGTTTTCTCTCTTCTCGCATAATATTGTTATCTCCATTTACCATTAATGGAGCGTTCTAGCATAGCACTATAATAATTGAGGAACAATTCACTGCTCTGTTCGTGTACGTTTTAAAAATAGTTTTGAAAGTTTAGATTCAGGGAAATGTCAAGCGAGATTTTTCACTGCAAATATGTTGCAAAATTACTACGATAATTTTTTTACTGTTTTATCTCTAATATCCGCTGAGGGGTGCTCGATTAATTATTGGTGCAGCTCGTTAATATTCCTTACACATCAATTATTCGTTGTGAGGCGGAAATGCTGCAGTGTATCGAATTGCATGGGTTGTGTGCATATATACCAGTTCATGAATTTATTCAATGGCAAGCCCCTATACCCTTTTCAAAAGATATTTAAATCCCATTTTCTCATACCTGCTCTACATGGGTGAAATATACACTTCATTTATTGGCTGTGGAATTCGTCAAACAGGGAATATACCCGAATGCTTATCGCTGAGATCAAAACGACTATTTATCGCTCTTAGTGATTCAATGATTACCGAATCTAAAGTAAATCATTTATAAGTATGAGCTCTGGACAATATTTCTACTTTTTTCTATTCACGTTTTGAAAGTTCACTCACTGCTTTAGTGATGAATAAAAATAAGAATATAATCATTAATTATGATTTACTCATTAAAATTATACGCGCGCTGAAAGCATTATCGTTAATCTGCGACGAATCTCCGAATATAAATACTTGATCATTCGCAGATTGTCTCTCTAATGTTCTGACATAATATATCACCGAATATATTGCGATCGGTGTTCTCTCTTTTTGCGTATTTCGAATCCTGTTTCAGAGAATATCGCATTACTGACAGTTCGGGGCGTTATTTATTTCCCGACTGTCGCGGTTCGTTTTTTATGACAACCTCCGCGCACCGAAATCCCTGCCGCGCGGCCTGCGTCTCACGGACAGATTTGCGCGCGACGCCGCTCCCTTGTTTTGCGCACACATGTTGCTCACACGTGTAGCACGTACTTACCGTCACACGTGGCGCCGGTGTAGCCGGGTCGGCACGCGCAGTAGAAGGAATCCACAGAGCTCCAGCACGTGCCCCCGTGCCGGCAGGGGTTCACGCTGCACGCCTGCACAGAAATGCACGCGTTACTCGGCACGCACGTGCACGCGGCATCCGCAGCAAAACGCGTCGTGCAAATTGATAAAGGCGCGGGCCGAAGAAGTCGGAATTAAGCCAAAGAAATTAGAGTCCTTTGCAATTGAATGCCAATATATTCTACGCGGACGACTAATTTATCCCAATTGCAACTCACTCATTTACTGGGAAGAATTTGTAATTATGTACGAAATAATGCAATGCACTTGTACGCAATTGATTATTTCCAACAAACTTTTGAACATACAATCGAGGGAGCATATTTCCAGAAAAAGTATATGGGACTAGCGACTCGTAAAGATTCCTTTAAATAAAATATTCCCCAGTTTAATCCGTTACAGCCGATGTTGTATTTAGTGGTCTAATAACTTTTCACATAAATCTCGCAGAGCTTTGGCACAGAGTTGTGACATTCATGGTACTTCATGTAGGAGCTTCTTCATCACCCAATTTCTCTCTTTTTGGTTGCCATGGGAGTCGTAACGGGAGGCATTATTACAGTTGTAACAAACTTCCCGTCATGACATTGGTTTTATAGATCCGCTACTATTACAGTTAATAGATTTATTGTTTTAAAGACATTTTAGACTGCTATTACCAAGTGCTGTCACTGTGGCACATGATAACTTGATATTTTTTGGTCTTCATTTGGATTTCTTAATTTTTCGGACTTCTATTGGACATCTTAAAGGTAAATCTCTTTGCAACAAGAAAGAACGTGCTTCGGGGGAAAACTACAAGAAACGTTAATAATATTCAATTACTATAAACTGTAAATACTGAGATTGTAGTTCCGACTCACAAAAACAATGCAACTTTAGTAACACTTTTTAATAGCGGATCTCTCGTGAAAAAAGAAAGAGAAAGAATCTGGCAGTCGACAAGTGTCATTCATCAGATTGCGCAAAACCAAACGTCTGACGTGCACCATTGTCCACTGGGGACAAATCCGCTTGTCAAATGTCACGCATCGACCGCTCAGAAACGTCCCTCATACGCACTTGCGTCAAACGCACTTTGTTCAAAGACGATTTCTCTAGCTGGCGGACGTTACGATCCAGAATTTTAGCTGTATGCGAAGAGTACTATTGCATGTCGATCACACAACGTACACACATACACACATCAAAATCGCAGGTTTAAGCTCTGTACAAGATGGAATGACACTACGCGAAGACAGCATAGAAGAAGTGCGTATTCCGAGGTTCGTCTAATAACACATTTCGGAGTTTGTTCTCCTTTTGAAGCAACAAAACTTGAAATTAAATATTTTAAACTTTTCACTTCGACGGTGATAGAAGTGCGATAACTTTCTTATCAGTCTACTTATACTTATTTTGTTTATTCATATATATATATATATATATATATATATATATATATAGTGTGTGTGTGTGTGTGTTATATGCAATAAAAATGCTCTGTGTTAACGTAACTTATCGAAGTATTGTAGCATACTAATCACTGACGTACAGCATGTTGTTCTCTTGGACAAATTTCAGAATGTCATGTAGCCCTCACTTCATATAATACATACGAGTACATATATACATACACACATACTTGAAAATGCGCATTTACAGATCATATTCAAATACACCTACATACCCAAATGCAAACAAACTTACAAACACATACGAGTATTGAAACACACCTACACACCCGGATAAGAGAGGCTTTGCGCTGACGGTGCTCCGAGCACTTCCACGCGCTGTAGTTACTGCGCCGGTCGTAGGGCCCTTGGGCTCGGGAGCTGCTCCACGGATGGAGCAACGTGGGTTTAGAGAGCCAATCACGATTCAATTACCAGTAGTCAGTGCGGTGCAGTGTTACAGGCAGAATTGGTGAGGGTGGCGAAGTTGTTTGTTTGGGAAATGAATGAGATCCATCGAACAACAGAGAAAGGACGATGAGATCGAAAGGGGTAAACACAAATGAAAACGAAGCCGCGAAATGAAGAACGCCAGGAGTTTGCAAAAACAGGATCTTGAGTAAAAAAAAAGGATTATAGGTTTTTACAATTTGAAATTAGGGGTTTTGGGTATCCATAAAAACCTTGCTTGGAACTGCAAAGGGGAAACCACGAGACAGGAAATAGCAATGAAAAAATAAATAAAAAATAAATAAAAAATAAAAGTACAAAAGCTTGCAAAAAATCTTTTTTATACGATTGTGGGAGGTGGTTTGGAAGACACTCTTAAAATAAATATAGGACTTTTTCTAAAAAGCTAAGTTATTAAAAAATGTACATACATACAATTTTGATAAAAAAACATATCTTCATTGTTTCATAAACTCGATTTAAAAGTCACAATTTTTTGACTTTTTGCATAAATATCCGCAACAACATTTGCATGGAAGATACGAGCGCACCATCTCCCTACGCGCCTGCATTAAATAGTGCATTGTCATTTATTTACCTCAAAGTTACGTAAGTCCAAGTTATATAGCAATTTTATGGCGCAGTAGTTGGCAATACATTTTAAGTTATATAAATGTTTAAAAAGTGGAAGATGGAAGAATGTACGAAAAATGATTGAAAAGCCATTTATAATCAAAACTTTACGAAGAACATATTCTTGAAAGCAGAGGTAAATAAAACTTAAAGATAAAAACACCGGAAAGAAAATGGAACGGAGAAAATGCCTTAAAATCTGGGCACAAAAGAAAAATTTCAAGGACGAAGGTATTAAAATGGAGATTTATGTGCTCATTCAGACTCGGGTCACCAGCTTGATTTTTTCTCGCAAATATGTTTTTTAACATAATTGTTCACAGACCTGTTGCGAATACAATCTATTTAACGAATTTGTTCTTTACGAAGTGAATCTTTTGACCCGAAAATTTGAAGACTATACCCTGACCCATTGTAATGCATGTAGACGAAGGACACCTTTAAGGAAAACGTCGTGAGAGACGAGACAGTGGATGATAAGAAAAGTCAAGTTCTCAGACGCATTGTCACAGCGCGGTCAATGAGTGAATGCAAATAACTGGGGACGATTTCCAGAAAGAGACGACAGAGATGTATGCAGATGAGAAAGCAGATGCGCCAGTGCGCATGTAACTCGCGATGAAATATTCATTATGTTCAACGCACAATTTCCACACGCATTGCGGGATAAAAATGAATGTGCTCGCTTCTTACTTGTGCAATTGTTTCAAGAACTTTAGAACTTCCCGCCTTTTTTTAATCAGGTTATTGCTTTCATTCTAATTTTATGCTATTTACTACTCCCCAAACTCTGACGTTTTCTAGAAATTTTTATCTCGTTCTGATCATATACTATTGATGAAAGTGCAAAATCAATTTGTATACAAAACATTACATCATACTGACATTTAGAGCGAAATTAAAATGTTATCGTATTTAATAAGGGTCAGTATGTTGTTAAATATAATTATCATTTAAACAATAAATATTGATTCTTGAATTTGACTTTAATTCTACTGCGTGAATCATAAATACGAGTCACTATAGGAATTTTTAATTTTATTATGTTCACATAAAACGAAATTTCCTCATATTTAGTATGAGACAGTTGTATACTATCTCAGTTTATTTTTTGTGATATCATCAGTTGAGATGATTGAACCTGGAACGTCAAAAAATCGGATTTTATATTATGTATATTTCAAACCAAATATCATCGATTCACATTTTGGTTCGTTATTTTTAGAATGAAGGTATTTTTACCCCGGCGCGGCTCCATGGGGAGGTAAATCCCTCCCTAAACTTTTTCAGTAACTGTTAAATTTAACTTTGTCACGAAACTTTCAAAAAAAACAAAACATTTTCGAATAATAATTTAAACGAATAACGTCGTATAGCATGAGCTAAATGAAACCTGCAGCATTTTACAAAATCTATTACATGACACACTCGACCAAAACATTTTGAATTTCTCCTTCCAAAAATTGTCTCTGGATCCGCCACTCTTTTACATTGGTGGGGTAATATAAATCAAATAAGAATTGACTTGGTAGATTTTCATTTCATCACTTACATTTAGAAAGAGTTCCTTTCTGTGTTGTTTGTTGAAATGAATGCATTTAATGTCCGTTAGAATGTTTTTAAAACCGTGTACCTATGATCTAAGAGATGTTTAAATCCAAGTATTCACTGGATTTCGTTCTCCAAACGCAACAGCGAAAATGATTGTAAAACCAACTGGATTGAAAAGTAAATTGCACGTTCTGTTTGCATTTTTTGGTAAATCGCTCCTGCAAACGGATCGAGCCCATTTTAAAGAAGAGCTACGGCCGGAAAGTCCGATTACACGTCAACTCGAAATGGCAGTTGTTTGCATCGCATCACATGACAACGCCGTTGTTGTGAACCGCGTGTTGGACACCTTATACGTCATAAAGTACTACAGATTACCACTAGCCGCCAAACACATTTTGTAGTCATGCCCGAGTCTCTGACAACGCTTCGTGATAAAGTTATTTCAACGAGACTTTCAGAAATACAGGCGCGCTCCATTGTTTAGCGTGGTGATTATAACCCTCTCACCGCAGAGGAAAGTAATTGTTTTTGCCTGGCATCTCTTGATTTTTTCTATTGCTCAAATCAAATTAGTTCACTCTTGCTGGACTTTTTGCTTCTCTACAAACTCAATAAGCAGGTGGTGCGAAATATTAAAGGAGCTACTGTTCCTCAGCTGAATTCTCTACGAACAAAGACGAAAGCAGATTAAATAAACAGCTGCATGCTATATTTTCCCATTAACTAGAAGCAAGGTAACGACAGAACGTCGTGTTTACAGTTATTAACGAGGGTGGAAACGCTTGGCATGCTTCTAAATGGTTGTTTGCTGAATACACTTGTCTTACCGCATGGATCATGATATTGCTCGAAATTCATATGGCTATTGTGTTTAAAGAGAACTTTCAGAAATGAACATTCTCATTCCTTTTGATAGCTATGTTGTCGGCTACTTTCTGGCAAATATCAACCAGCGGTAGTAG